TTACACCAAAATGACGAATTCAGAAATACGGGATATAGCGTCACAGTCAAAAAATAAATTTTCTATTTCATTATTCAATTTTCAACTTGAATACTGAAATATAAACTATTTCATTATTCATTATTCATCACTAAATGTTGAATAGTGAATAATGAACTATTTCATTATTCATTATTGAATTTTGAATAATGAAAAATGAATAATGGACGTACTTCAGCGCGGTAGACTAAACTGTATGCGTGGTAACTTTTATTTCAACTTCACTGATGGGATATTAGATGCATTCGACGTTGATGCAAAAACTATGAATTATTTAGTCAGACGAACTCATCTATATAACGGAACGTGAAGTTAAAGGAAAATGCTACATCTCTTTCATTCTTACTGAAAATCTCATTATGAAGTCTAGATCTACCTCATATGAATAATGGGACAAGTCGACAAGAGAAAGATCTCAGTTTTGTCCTTTAGGAATGCCGATTGTCTGTTAAGTATGTTAACAATAAATCAAAATCAAGTATTTTGATGGTGTCAAGTATTTTGATGGTGTCAAATTCAGAGAATCAAAGGTTATTTCTTTTACAAAGTATGATTTTAAAAAAATATATTTCTATCTATTTTGACCATTTTTTTTTTCATAAAACGAAGTTTTACTCTTTCTTCTATTTTGTATTTCAGTTTAGAATGAGGAATACCAGTGTAAAAGGTAGAGAAGTCCAATGTTTGCATACTACTGTATATTGTACGAGGACAGGGATTTGATTGTATGATCTCGAACAGATCTTTTGATTTATATCTTAAGTAGATAGGTTCACAGTAACTCTAAAGAACAATTTCAATTGCTGTTAAAATTCGATATAAATAGTTTGCAAAAAAGATTTTGTGGAGCATTTGTCAAACCTACCGCTATAACGTTGTTTATTGGGTCCCTTATATAATTTAGGTATACAGTACAGTGACGGGAGATCAAGCTCTTCATTGTTGGTTGCAATCCCATAGGGAAAATAACGACCTATGATTGTTATCAACATTCTATACAGGAAAGTACGCAGACGTACACGAAAAACAAAACTGTTATGTTAGAATTAAATAAAATAAATAAATCTTAATTTAATTTATACAATGTTTGCAACCGATATAGTGACTTTTCTAAAAGTGTTATGATTTTTTTCCTAGAATCAAACTTTCAGGAGATTTTCTACGAATGAGAGACAGTGTCACGATAATACTTAATGCCTTTTATTGTAAAATTTAGTAATTTACATCTATGATTACTTGAACTAAAACTTCGTATTGTGGACTTGACACTGAAAGTAGAGTAGTTTTATTATGACGTTATGCAGTTAGGTACATGACGTAAAGTCATTCTGAACGGAGGTCTATATTTCATCTAACGTATCCGTGCTATGTGAACTAACACATAGGTTATAAAGTAGAATTATTCACGAGTTCTTGTATGATTATTTATTTACGTTTGCGTTTCGAACATAAATTGCAGTCATCAGATTATTTTGTCTGCCCACCTGACCTAGCTGGGAGTAAGAATTCAATGCACGTACGAGTAATTTTTCATTTAATATTAATTAAGTATTCATATCCTTTGATATTCATTGTTTTGACGATACTTTATACTGGTCATATAAAAAAGTTTTAAAACAGATAGGCTGTCTCACCTATGACGTGTTTTCACATGTACATTTAAATACCATGTAAAGTGAAATACAAATCACTTATTAATAAATAGTCACAAAGTTTTATGTAATTAACTCGATTATCTCGATTATGAACTCCCCTTAATAATATATGCGGGACATTGAATGTCCTGCAGCAATATCTTTATCTACAAATATTAAAAAAAATAAAATGTATTTTTGGATGGCCAACGTTATATAATGTTTATGTCTTAACTTACTCAACTATATATATCAGTCCTATTCAGGACCGATAACTCTGTCGATAAATATTGGCGGGTATACAATGTTGAAATGTATGCAACAACATATTTTTGTACACAAGTTAAAATTTCAATATCGATTTTTTTTTAATGCCTGGATTTTGTGCTTAAAACATTAAATTAAAAAGATAAACGACAAAAATCATATGCAATGAAGTCTCGTTTAATTTTCTATGAAATAAAAAAATCTATTAAAAATAAAATTTGAATTAGCCTGAGTATTTTTTTTAAACAATTATCGTATTTGGTTATTTTTTTAAGCAAAAATCAACTTATCGAAGAATTTTTCATAATATTCATATTTTCTTAAAGTTCTTTATGATATATATTTCTTCGGTAGTGTACACGGTAAAAAGAATTATATATTTTGTCCATTTTCGAAAACTTGTGTACATCACTAAAACTAAACTCTGGAAATACATGTGTCAGGAGCCTGTTGTTCAGTGGTTGTCGTTTGTTGGTGTGGTTCATAGGTGTTTCTCGTTTCTTGTTTTTTATAAAGATTAGACCGTTGGTTTTCCTGTTTGAATTGTTTTACACTGGTCATGTTAGGGGCCCTTTATAGCTTGCTGTTCGGTGTGAGCCAAGGCTCCGTGTAGAAGGCCGTACTTTGATCTATAATTGTTAACTTTTTATACATTGTGACTTGGATGGAGAGTTGTCTCATTGACACTCATACCACATCTTCTTATTTATGTTCACAGGATGTTAATGTCACCCTATGCTTTTTGGTTTGACACGATTCCTTTACATTACCTGATAATTTGTTGTATGTAACATTATAACTTAAATCTGAGTCAACCTGTTCGTATATTGGTCATATTCGTCATAGAAACTTTAAAGGGACATAAACTTTAATAGGTAAAGAGCATTTATCTATTGTTGTGCAATTGTTTTTTTCTCTCGGAGAGGAAAATATTTATTTTCTAAAAAAATGTATTATTTTTCTATATACAGATAAATTATACAGAAAAAAGGGAAAAAATCTTTAAAAAAATTAAAAATATTTTTCGTATAAATTTCAGTGGTAACTATTTTTTCCACTTCACACTTCACACTTGAAATAATTTATTTTTTATCAAGAAATTTAGAAATCAAACATATCAGAATATCATGCAACGTAAAAAAATAACATAAACAGCACAAATTCTGCATGAAAAATACAAGATGTATAAAAATACATGCGACACTTCCAAACACATCCGCCATTTTGAAAATTCCCGAAAAATTCACTTTTTTAAATCGATGTGGGACGTAATTTCCCCTCCATTTAAACTGTTAAAAGTAGCCTCTTTTGCTAGATATATGTGTTGGTATTTTCAATATAGCTGCAAAGTATTACTTTTATCTACGGTATTTGTGAATTTGATGTACAAGTAAACATGGGGTCGCTAGATTTACCATTGAGTCAACGGGGAAATGAGGCGAAGTACGATTTTTACGAATCTCCAGGGCCGTGATTTAATCAAAAATTAAAATGTCAGGATCAACATTTTTAGGTAGAATTATGTTCGAATACCAAGGGCATAGCTGCAAAAGTTAGAAAACGGGTCAGAATAATGAGAAAATTGAACTTTATTGAAGAACCTATGCATTATACATGGGACAAAATGACAAAAAATGGCGGCTTGCTACGTCACCAAAGTCACGTGATGTCTTACTTAGCTGAATGTATGATTCATTTTTCAAATATTGGCTTTTAATTTGATGACGTCCAAAAAATGCCCAAAAAGGAGTATTATAAAACAAACATATAAGTAAAGTAAAGTAATTACATAAAGTTTGCATAGATGTTAAGATTCGTCATGGAAATAAAAAATTGACAATAGTTCATAATCTTCATTATTCTTTTATTTTAAACCATGTTAAGGTAACAGGTACGTAAATGGGTAATCTCACGGATTTTTATGAATTTTTGCAAACAATTTGAACATGTGGAACTGCATATGGATATCGATAAAATATTTTAGTAACTTTTATACTTTCGGATATATAGAAAACTGAATAGTCTCTAAAAAGAAGTACAAATGTATAGGATGCACGTAAAGATCGAAAAAAGATATCGAAATTTTGACTCTAAATTGTCTTTTCTCAAAAACGTGTCCTACGAATTGTTATTGCCACGTAAATTTCCGTTTTATTGATATGAAAGTTATATATGGTCACCGAATTCGTTTTTGCTGTATAAATCATTCAAGTGTCTCTGTAATATTTAAAAAAAAGTTTAAAAAATACATTTTTAGCCACGACGTCTCGATTAATTTTGCCTTTTCGGCGCTTTTTTTTCATGCTGTACAGAATATTCAACTATTCATACTCAAAAAACGAACTTCGGTGACCCCCTATAAATTTTATATCAATAAAATGGAAATTTCAGTAGTACATGTAGTAATAACATATCATTTTTAAAGAAAATTCGTAGGACAGGATTTCGAAAAAAAGTTAATTTTAGATCAAATTTGCTGATTTTTTTAAAGATTTTTACGTGCATTCAATGCATTTGTACTACTTATTTCCGGATATTTTATTTGCTATATCTCAGAAAGTATAAAAGTTATATTCATGATTTTTTCGATGTTCATGTTCCTCATGCTCTAGTTGTATGCAAAATTTCATAAAATTACGATAGATCATTCCTGGTCAAATGATTTGAGCAGTATTTACATTTAAATCAAGATTCTGTTTGCGATGTACAGAAAGGAACTATGATTAAACAGATGTTACATCGCATTACACTTTATTAGCTTTTACAACAAATACGTTATCATAGACCGCAATTCAGTAGAAATGAAAATAACACTTTATAAATAAATTCGTCAGAACAATATCAAAAATGAGGTATGAAAAGCGTAGCCATTGCGTTGTGCGTTATCGCTTATCGTTAATTATATATGAATTTCAACATTAAACATACAAACAACAACTAAAACAGCGCTTTACGATGCGTTGTAATATTTTGTTCGTTACATGCAAAATGTTAAAAAAAAAAACAACAAAAAAAAAACAATTGATCTTCTGAGTAAATTAACTATGTTATAAAACTTACATTTATTACAGTATTGTCCAGCTCGTCCAAGTACACATCCTCCAAGGCAAACACCTGTAGTGGTATAACAATTCTCACTCATACAGTTCGTAGGGTCACATCCCCAAACACAGTTCCCATTTGCAGGATAACAATGTTGGTCAATACATTTAGGTGGACATGGTACTGTACAGTTTTCTCCCCAGAAACCTTTCCAACATCCTACAAGTATACAACGTATGTACACGATATCTGTTCTCATGTTCAGTGTAAAAAAGTATAACAAAAATATCGATCTCCATGGTATTACTATTTCCGTGAACGATTTTTTTTGTTTTTTTTTTTTTGTTAATAAAATATAATTTGATTTAATGGGATTGGTCGTTAAATCGTGTTATCAGAGGAAGGCAAAACTTGCAACAGGTCACTTCATGCATAGGTCAATGTAACGCGCATGTCTTTATTCGATTACACGGCATATACATGTAAATTTTAACAGCTAATAGCACTCCTCACAATATTCTGAATGCACGATCTGCAAGGAAGTAACTGAATATATCTAAGGTCAGATTGGTGAGTTTATTGTACTATACGCATATTTAATGTAAAACTTATCTTATTAATTTTTCAATTTGCAACAGATTATTAAGTGATTAATTGTAATTGGTCACATTGATAATTTATAAATTAGTGGACAATTTATTAAAGTGATTACGATACAAGCGATTTTTTTTAATTTATATTGAATTGTATAATAAATGGTTGATTGACGTAGTTTTTAATTCCAGTTACATTAAAGGGGCATTAGCTACGAGACATAAAAACAAAGGTTGCTTTCTTTAAAAAATAGAAAGGCAATACGTGAAACCGAGACCACTGACTGGACACCAAATAATCAGTGTTGCTGATTTTTTATTTTTGCTTTTGATGTGAAATAATTGACTGTGAATAGAATAAGGTAATGATGATGTTGGAACGCCTTTATTGAAAATGTGTAATTGTGTGTAGATTCTTGCACAAGTCAGAAACATGCATACATGTCTCTGCACAAGTCAATCAAAAGCAATGTTGGATTTTAGTTGTAAATAGAAAAGTGTATACAGCTACATGTACTATTTGCGGTTACCTTTTAAGGTTTTACTATTTTGTTTATTACTTGGGAGTGTACATAATTTTTCTTCGTGTTTTTAATATACAAAGTCCTAATCCTATTGAAATTCCCAATTTCTGCAAACAGGATGACTAAAGCAAATTGCACTGACCATGGATGTATTATATCGACAGAAACTCCAACGAAAAATTAGCACATTCGCATCCCACTGATTTCTTTAAAAAAATAAAAGGTTCCGACTCAGTTTGTTAAGTACGTGATAACTCCTTTGCGGGGTATCTGCGATGCCGCCTTCGCCTGTTCTGTTTACTGAAGCTGGTCTTATCTCGTGATTTGGTATCGAGTGTCTTATCTACCTACCAATGTAAATAAACACGGAAACTCCCGTGGTTATTTGTGAATCGCCACATGAATAACGACACCTGTTTCCGTTCAATAAATGAAGGCAAAAGCTGAAAAGATCTAAAAAAAATCGGTCCATATTCAACAGAATGACATAAGAAAATTAACTGCATTCGGAAAGAGGGCAAGATTATTTTTAGTTTTGTTAAATATGTTTTAATCATTGGAACTTGGAAATCGGGAAATATCCGGTATCAAAAATTACATGCACCTGAAGTTCGGTGTTTGTGGAAAATAATGTGATGCGCGTGTAGTGTGAAAGATGACGAAGGATAGCTCAAATTTAAGTTAATGGTCGTAAATTTTTATCGAATGTTACAAGAATATAAAATTTTATGGTTTTCTCTATCGTATTAATGTAGAAAAATGTTATTATTATATTCATCAAATATGTTTTAAAGACTAAAAGAGGTTAATAATTACACGCTCGTGATGACGTATCTCTACATAGCATGTATCAGGTTACGAGACAGATGAATTGTTATACCTTTATAATAATTCAAAAGTTAAAAACAACCTTCAATCTTCAACCTAGTCCGAGATTGCCCTGACGTCTGACAGAATTATTTTTAGAAATGGCTTACCTTTAAATAGTTCTGGATGCATTTAAAGAACGATCATCATGATGGGCCCTAAGCAGTATAATATTTTTTTATTCTTAAAATTTTATCATGGGAACAAAATTTTTGCATGAAATATTTGCCATTGGACTTTCAGTAAACAATCAATCAAAATCTTTGCCAAATTTAGCAATAAACCTCAACTACAGATGCAGATTACAACTATTTTTTTCCTTACACAAGGAATTTATTGTTATTCAAGATAATATTAAAAAATGGAGATATAATATGATTGCCCATGCTCTATTTCATTATGCCAAAATAGATATTTTTTCCCGATCAAAGCCCTCTAACCCCCCGCCCCTCGCCGCTACGGGGAACCAAATTTTGAATTAAATTTTTGTTGGAATTCATGAAATATTTAAATAGTTTGGCACTTGACATTCAGTAAACACTAAATTGAAATATTTGTCAAAGTTAGCAGTAAAACTCGATAATAATTGCAGATAAAAACTTTTCAGTTTATTTTTTATAAGAATTTTATGATTTTCAAGCCTAGCATGTATATAACAGTTATGTATGTTTAGCAAACGGCCCTCTCATGAATAAAAATCTTACAATTTAAATTGATTGTAACTAAAACTGAAATGTTCATGGCTTGCGAGTATTATTACTCTTCACTTTTTTTGAGAAAACAGTCGCGGGGTTTTCGTTTCTTTCTTTTTATTTGTTTTAACGCAGCGAAACCCGTCAAAACTGACATATTTGCCATTTAGTGACATGGTCGTTAAATGTCATGTCCTTTACAATTAAGTACACATCCGGTTATTTCGGTATATTCCGTAATTACGATCAATCACGAGGTTCCAAAAATTTGATTGAACCCATGCATCCATATGACATGTCGAGTTAATTAAGAGGTACTTAACGATTTTGCGGCATCGCACTTTAAACGTTTGAAGTCGGTTTGTTGGAGTTCCTGTCAATATTATACTTCCATGCACTGACCAATCACAATATAAATTTTAGCACTTAGTTTGATTAATAATCTGAATGCATTTAATTTATCTTTCATGTCTTCATATTTTGTTTCCTAAATGTCTTCAATTATTCTTATACTCATTATTGAAGCTGTCTGTACTCGTGGTAGATGTGGTATAGAGAAATTGAAAGTCTGATTTCCGTGTGAAGTGTAACTCTGTAGCATGCAACAGATATAGTTACGATACAATTGTCAAGTCATTAAAGATGGCCTTTTTTGTAACTAATATTGATTTACTCATATGGTTTTTACATCGGAAATAAACATTTGTTTTTTAAAACCGGTTGTTGACATGATACGGGTTATTTTCTTCTCGTATAATTTATGATGACATGATTCTAAACCCCAAACGGGAAGGATTGTTGTTGATTTTCACATGATGAAAACATAATCTTTCAATCAGTTTAACTGAAGTCTGGAGCTGGCATGCCAGTAACTGTTAGTAGTCCTTTGTTAATTTATGTGTATCATTGTCATTTTGTTTAGTTTCTTCTGTTACCAATTCTAATGATGACCATGCTTTAAAGTCGCATGTCACATGTCAAGCTTTTACCGCCGTGTCCTGAATTTTGATCAGAAATGCGAAATTCACATTCCGCGAGTGAAATTAATATTTATGCATGCACATGGTTTTCTTGCGCAAGAAATTGTAAATGGAAAGCATACCCACTGATACTCTGGATTAGAATATGCGTTCGCATCCAGTATTCTAGGCATCAATCTGCTGTTATTTGTATCCGATTTTGTGTCGTGTGAACACGTTGTAATATAATGTAAATAAACCGAGAGGTGTGTAGGATAGCTGGTCAACACAATGAATATAATTTTCAAAATTGCACCATATTGCAAAGATTAAGATTCTATAAGATTGAAGCATTTAAAACAAAAACAAAAACAATTTAATTTAATCAACATGCATTCCTGTTAATGAATCTTTTCCGAAAATTTAAAATATAATATCAGAAGTCCATTAAAATTACTTCTGATAATATCAATAAACACAAACGTCAAGTATTTACTGATGGACATTAAATTTATCAAATCAATCTCTTCTTCTTCAAGTCTAACTTTCCATTTTATGAATATATTGCTATAAAAAATATTAGCAGAGACTTATAAAACCATATTAAAATGGTATACAATAATTAACGTAGTAATTTATAATTGTGAAATACGATTAAATTTTTTCGTGAGATGCAAGGATTTAAGACCATGCAAGTATTTTTTTCATTCACTACAGTTTAAATTTTAGATACTAACTTAATTATGTGTACGCATCCCTGATAATTTGTGCTCATATGTTGCATATAATTTTCATAAATGTATTCACTGTTCAAACCTGTTGGACATAATATGACATTATCAATTATATTCTATGAATGATAAATTTAGTCTCCGTTCAAACTTGCCGACGATAACTTTAATGTATATTCTCTTGGTCAGTTAGTATCTATTAATGAAATTAAATATTTTTACAGAAATCTTGTTTTGTTTCATTATCTCTCCGCTTTACGACCACTGTGTTTTCGACCTAAGATAAATATTTGTAACAGAAATATCATTTTGTTAGTTTTCTTCTTGCTTTCCGACATTTGCCCAGGCTATGATTGAAATACAAAATATCACTTGGTAAACGTTCAGAAATAATCAGTTTATTCCTGGACATATGATAACATATCAATATAGTTTTTACTATTCCTAGGTTTATTGACAAAATGTGCAATAGCACGTTGTATTAGATAATACATACACAACGCATACAGGAACCGTCTCAAAACACGAACTACATAATTGCATTATCATTATACTTGTCAAGATATTTATTAAACATTCGCATTATTAAAACGCATATGTTCTGTCAAAAGACAAATAGGTTCCAATATATAAATGATTTTTTTAAATGCATTATAGTCTTTAATTTTTTACTTTCCTTAATCTACAAATGAACTTTTTTTGTTGAAATATACATGTCACGTGGTAGCATATCTATAGAGGTTGCACTTTGTAAATACAGCTGTTTCACAAGCCACTCATCTTTTGGGGAGATATATAATATTCATAGATATTTAATTTTGTTTACGTACTGGTTCCAACATATGATATCTCTATGTTTCATCTCATAGAGAAATAACTTTGGAATGTTACCAGTATGAAAACAGATAGTAGCGGCGATAATTGAATTCTGAGGGACACCCAAAGTGGAGGTAGGGATTGTACAGAATTTTAGTATAAGTTTAAACTTTTAGAAATTCGGGGCATATAAATGTTGAAAATATGCTGCACAGCCCTATGTTTTGACCTTTGAATAAAAAAGTAGTGCATATCAACTTTCCGTTCTAGGATATAATTTTTTACGAAACTTCATTGTAAAAGGGGCACAGCTTTAGCCGCAAAGGGAGTTCCTATGGGAAATTGCATTGTCTATATTTACAGAAGTGCAACCTATATTGGGTGAAAAAAGAGAACAAATACAATTTCACCTAATCTGGTTTATCTCAGAGATTTTAATGAAATTAACTCAAATATAAAGTTTTATAAATATTTCATGAAGATTGAGAAAATCCTGGGCCTCAATTATGACGACTCAGCATAAATTCACAGTTTACAGTATGCATAGTGTACTTAAAGCCCTGAATGCAAAATAAATTCATAATATATGCATATTTGTAATTTAAATTGTTTAGAAGTGCTTATATTTACTCTTTGCAGTCATTGAAACTTATAGATCCTTGATGAATACTGTTGTTGGGGTGCTTTTGTCCTGTCGATTACCCAAAATTAAGCCATAACACCTCAATTTGCTTTTTTGTGACCGCGGCAAAAAAATACAAGCTATGAAATACAAAAATACCTCAATAAAACTAACAATAGTATGTTCTATCCTAAATATGTACTAAATATACCATATTCACAGCAACAGCAGAATAATTTAGCAAATGTGAGGCCCCAGTGGCAAAACACAGAGAAAAATGCCTACCCCTGGGTCAGAAAACATATAATTTAACCTGTAAATGCTATGATTTTATTAATTTAAAGGTTTTTTGTATAGAACATAATAACTGTGCTTGGAAGTTATGCTAAAAACAGATGTTAGCAGTCAGTTCTATAAAACTTTTAGTGAATTCATACATCAGACTGGTAACTTCATACATACAACTTTAACAAATATGGCTTTGTTTAAACACTTCTAGTTCATATATATTAGCTAAATTATGTTAGATATATGGTGAGAAATGATATTGTTGTGACAAGATTTCTAAACTGACCATTTGAGGCAGAAATTGTGAACTTTTATTGACAAATAGGCATACAGTAAGATTTGGACTGGACACAGAGGCAGGATTGGATACTTTATATAATCTTGAATGTTGGAATGATTAACTACTAAACTATACATTTATAGTATTCTGAAATGTTTTCAACTAGTTATCAGAATAATTTCAAACAGGTTCTAGCCATGTCATGTCAGCAAACATGCACATAGGGTAAGCTGACAATAATTAAAGTCTTGTTTTCAAATTCTTTAAACATTGAAACGGGAGTGGGGGTATTAAATGTACTGTTAAAGAAAAGTTAGAGTATATGCAGTGATTTCTTTTAGACTATAATTCTGATGAATAAGTATTGTTGTGAGAAAAGGTGTTTTTCAAGAGTTTTCTATTTGAATACATGTTTGTATAGGCTGCACTTTGTAAATACAGCTGTTTCACAAGCCACGCCTCTTTTGGGGAGATATATAATATTCTTAGATATTTAATTTTGTTTACGTACTGGTTCCCAGATAGAGAGATAACTTGGGAATGTTACCAGTATAAAAACAGATGGTAGCGGCGATAATTGAAATCCGAGGGTCACCCAAAGTGGAGGTAGGGATTGTACAGAATTTTAGTATAAGTTTAAACTCTTAGAAGTTTTGGGCATATAAATGTTGAAAATATGCCGCACAACCCTATGTTTTCACCTTTGAATAAACAAGTAGTGCATATCAACTTTCGTTAGTGCGTATCAACTTTCGTTTGTGCATATTAACTTTCCGTTCTAGGATATATTTTTTTACGAAACTTCATAGTAAAAGTAGCACAGCTTTAGCCGCAAAGGGAGTTCCTATGGGAGATTGCATTGTCTATATTTACAAAAGTGCAACCTGTAAGGACCGTATCAAAGACATATATACCTACCTGTATAAATGATCGAACATTTCCGAGACGTTTCAAGAATAAAAAATTAACACCATCAAATGCAATTAACTATGGTACCATTTATTGTTCTTTAGCATGTTTTAGGATAGAAGTAAATCGTAAATTATATTTCAAAGTTGAGCCTTCGTTAAAAGAAATTATTTGATAAAAGTTTTGAAATGGCAGCTACAGTGATGTTTTTATAACCGATTATTTTTCGGTCAGGCAAATTGCGTTGCATATATATTAATTTTTATTTCAAATAAAATATATATATATATATTCATTTATATATGGTAGTGATGTCTTTATAACCGATTGTTTTTTCGGTTATCCAAATTGCAATGCACATATTTTAATATTTATTTGAAGTATAAAATGTATATTATTAGTTATATTTGTTCATTTATTGGTAGGTTTACGATGCCTGAGTAGAAAGGGCGTTGAAAGAGGTAGTATGATTTGGGTAAAGAAAACTGCTTGAATTTTATATTTTGCCAATATGGTAATAAATATGTAGCTATTTGTTTTTATTAAAAGATTGATAATTTCCTTATTTTATATTTTATCATGTTTTTTTTATTTTTCTATTTATCATTATTATATTCTATGTTGTTACTTTGTCATTATTATATTTTATTTCTTTGTTTCTCTATCTATCCATTTTGTTTTTTAATACTCCTGTCTTGAATTTTAGTAGGCGAGAATAAAATGTATGCTTAGTTGTGGGTTTAACACATTTTGTGTAATATACATAATATGTAAGAAGAGTCAGTAACTATGCGTTCCATTAATATTATATTTACATTATCACGCTTTTATTTAGTGATAAAAAATGTAAATGACACAAATAGGATGATATCTTTTCCTAAACAGTGGTTGCAGACACTATTCGCTGACAGAAGCAAACTATGTAGTTATTATACTAAGGAATAAAACCACTTAAGTATGGTCCCAATTGCTTTCTATGTTAAATTCTGCAATTTCAAGCATTAATTCCTATCAGGATCAGTTCTATAGCAAAACTGCTTTAATCTGTTCTAGGGTACAAAAGTATTAACAAAAATACTGAACCGTAAAATTCATATCAAGCATTTCGGTTTTTTTTGTGCATTGTGTTAATCTTGTCAAGGATAGCACGTGTAGTCATGTATGTTGCATTGTTTACGAAAATAAAATTTAACTTCTGGTATGCCTCAGACAATCAAAATTACGCAACCTGTATAAAAACTTTTACATAGTGTAATTATATCAACGTGAAATCTACAATTTGTCTCCACATTGCATGAAAATCATGTGTCTCTATACTGCTGTTGACGTTGCTGCAAGAAAATGTTCATGAAGTACAGCACTCGTTGAAACCTTGTAAAACGGTATAATTTTATATCAATAGGTTACGTACTTTGACCCTTTCTTCCAGTAACTTCAAACATTCTTTGGTACGGTATACTATATTAAACTTTTTATTTGTTTGTCTGTGCTTATAATCGGATTTTGTTTCCTAGTTTATCCCTTTTAAAAAGGTCAATTGAGTTCTCTTTACTGTCCATGAGATCTAGAAAAATTAGTTTAACTCGCCACATAGTGACAGTGAACCTGTCCGTAGAAAATAACATCGTCAGTGGTTCTCTTATGACCAAGTTGATGGTGTGTTGAATTTTGGTTTTGGTTTATTGTTAAATTTGGTGCTGATCTCCAAACATTTATTCTGTTTCAGTTATAAAATAAGCTCAGAAACGTTAAGCATCGACCATTTATTTGTCGTATGTGAGGGCATATATTTTTTAATAAATTGTTTGATGCTAAATTCTTTAAAAGCTGTTCAAATAGGATAGTGCAAACTATTTTTTCCATGTAAAATTGTGGACAAAAAAATAAGGTTCAAATTCTATTTTCTAGTTTCTGTATGTTAATTAAAAATAAAAATAAATCATTATTTAAGTCGAACAAAATTGTTTTTCTTGAGACAGAAAACAAGATCCACCACAAAAGATGAATGGTCGATGATTAAGTTTATAGACTCCGGACGATTTTTATCTTGATATATTGTTAAGATTTCTTGTCTACTTTTGAAGTCTGCATGTTACCCTCTAAATTCATACCGTCGTTTGGTTTCGGTTTCATTCACGTATTCATTCCATCTCCTTTTTTGCATATGAACATTAAGACACGTACGCTGCACATCATAAACTTGTTGTAAGATTAAACTATGTTAACGCAAATAAATAACATTAACGATTCCAATTTTACATCACCAGTCGTAATTCGACAATAAATTAATGTTTATGCAGTGATCCTTTTGATGCAAATGCAGCTTGTATTTTTATTTTTTTAATTTGACAGATGCAGTTCGCCCGTTTGATTCTAAAAAAAAAACTATATTTTGTCAATACTTTACCATATATTTCTACGTAACATAATTCGATGAGTGTAAATCTGTTAAAGAAATAAACATTCATGGTTGGGCTTAAATCACAATCGATACTCTGATTCAGGTTAAGGTAGGCTTGTTTGGTCGTATCTCTGTAACACAATTCACTTTTAGCATACACAGTGTCATTTGTAAAGTACAATCGGAAATCATTCATGCGCTCTGGTTCTGTAAAACAAAAACAAAAATATGAATTAATACGGCACTCAAAGTGTTTGTCAGGCAAGCAGCGCATTGCCGAAGTCGATGATAACTCGCTTTCCATAATGTTATAATCGACAACAAAATACCATGGTATATATGTTACTGTTGCAGTCTACTATGTTGTTTTTTTTTCGTTATATGTAACAATTACAGAGACGAAAGAAAACGAAAGAAGAAAGAGGATTATTATTCAAGTCTGACTGAAAGAAACTTCTACCTGAATCAATACTACGCAAATATATAAATGAAGATATGAATAAAATTGCCCTACAAAGGTAAAAGAATAAGACCGATCATAACAGATGTGATAGAAAAATCAATGTTGAAATCCGTACTTCTTTAACATGTTTAAAGCGATTAGAATGTGTGCATATTTTACAGATGATTCTAGATATGACCACAAACGGGTTTTGCTTAGGAACAATGAAACGAATTACATGAACGATTGAACTGATTGGATATGACCAGAGAAATGCGGAATCAAATCATCAAGAGTCAAGGAACTTGTATGTACATTTTTCTTGACATGAACAAATTAAGTTCACTATAATATTGCTTGGAATGTCAATGTAAGGTTTTAAAATTCACATGGGAAGGTATTATAATATCACATATTTAGCCCCTTGAATTAGAAAATCAAAAAAGTTTTATAAATCTATTTAATAGCACTCATCAGATATTCAGAATACGTTCGTCTTTCAGATATCAATTTGTAATAATGTTTGAAATTAAACTATGTCTACTATTTTTGCTCTTATTTTATTTTCCTAGAAACTACGAGTGAAATTGCTCCTTTGTGACAAATATGTCAATGTTGTCATGTTTACGGTAGTTATCATACTGACATAACAACAGACATTTCTGAAATAAAGTGTCAAGATTATATTTATCACAACTATCGTCCCATCTTTATCATTAATGTTCACTATATTCGCTACGTCAGGGCAGGCCATGGCACTTATCATGCATACATCTTCTTGTTAAGATGATATATATTTTTTTTATTCTTTATTATTTTTTTACATTTCTGTCCCTATCCAACATGCCTTAAATTTCCAGTGGCAATCCAACTGTCCCAACCTTCCACTTTGTAGACCAACTAGCACATCCTTCTCGTAATATCGTTTGCCCATTTTCTGCATGAAATAATTGCTATATTGTCAACCGGGCAACAATCAATAAATTAATCAAAAGGTAGATTAACAAAAAAAAAATGTTGAATTGCTTCATGTGTCGGTCAATTACAAAGCAGGGTATATTTTCTTTGTTCTCGTCATGGTATACATTTGTACAAGAAAGACAATACATTGATAAGATTTGATATTCCTATGTTTTCGTCCCCCGCCAAGATGCAAGGGAGGGATATGGAACTGCTGCAGTTCGTCAGTCCCTCCGTTTGTTAGTCCATCCGTCTATCTCTCTGCTCATGCTTTTATCTGATTGTTTATCTGTCCGTCCCACTTAAAATGTAAGAGACCGAAGTTCAGATATTGAAAATTATCTCTAATAGTTCCAAAAATCAGCGCCGATCGTTTATTTCATGACAGTTCCCGATGGAATTGAAATTACATAGACATTCAAATTATGCATCTATCGCACTAAATTCCAAATCAATTTTATGTCAATGGTTTGTTTCTTGGTAAGTGACATTTTACCGAAAAAAAATAAACCTAAAAGGCGGCTATGATATATACCATTGTAAGTCAAAAGTTTGTACTGTGTAATTACCGTTTAATCAAGGTCAACGGTCACGAATGAACATTCCTAATTTCGGTAAATACAAGAATATGACCTTTGTTACAATCAAGAATTTTTAGCTATACTGCATAAATTAACCCAAGATAACTGACTTTAAATAACTATAATATAAATAGCAATAATTGTCCTTTAATAGATTTGGATACTTCAGTTTCACACTGGAATGTACGACAAAAGAGACGACTTTCCGTTCCCTATTGTTAATTTTCCTTTCTAGCGGTGTTGTTCCTTTGCCCCTTCTTACTTTGTGTTTATTTCACAACTTGTGTTCGCTATGCCCGTGTCTGAAGTGACATTTTAGATTTTAATGCACAGATTCTATGTATAAGTGGTAAATTATTAAGTCACTACAGGAATTTGTTTAACACAGATGATTTTTTGTGTGATTACTTATGATCATACACCCTATCGATACTGTTTACTCATATGTGGCATTGCACAAGGTCGTGCGTTTCACGGATTTTTTACACTAAATCTTTAGGATGTACACTGATTATTACTTTAGTCTTGAAGTCTTTGTGTCGTGTTGTGCAGTTATACCATTGTTCAAGGTTTGATGAGGGTTCAGGGCCTACAAACATGTTTAACCCCGCCACTATCTTAAGGTGCATGTCTTAAGTCAGGAGCCTATAACTTAGCGGTTGTCGTTGATGCATGTCTGTCATATTTGTTTTTCATAAATTATATTGTTTTACATTAGGCCGTTTGTTTTTTCGTATGCATTGTACACAATTTGTCAGCTGACTATACGATATGGGTTTGCTCATTGTTGTAGACTGTACGATCCTTTATTTGCATAAATCAACGTCATTTGAACTCTTTTTTTTATATAATATATAATAAAAAAAAAGGCAAATTCTTCTGTGGTCAACATTGTCTGCATGGGTTGGAACCTCAGTTTCTCACTAATTTATGAATTGAACAAAGGGTTAATTAAAAATAAAGAGACAAATCAGATCAGTACTAATTATTGCACTGACTTCTGAGGTGATGATTCCCTCGGGGACTAACAGTCCGCTAGCAGTGGTATCGGAGATATACACAGGAAAATGTCAAAACAAATAATCAAAAAATGTATTAGAAACTGAAAAGAGTAATCGAATGACTGAATTTAAAGACGGAGTTACTTATCTTGAACGAAAAGCAATATATTTATACTTTTTAACTTAAGAAATTCTCAAAAGTGTAGACAGAAATGTTAAACGCATTTATTCAGTTTGAAAAAAAAAATCTTAGTTCGATTTATTTATTGAGGACTTTAATATACGTTGTTTGTGAATGACTGGAATGATACGTTACGCATTATAATTGTAAATATGTACATATATGTCGGTTCAAAGTCTTGAATTACTTATAATGAGTGTAAGTCAGAATTGTTTTCCTTGTAGTTACAGAGTAAATCAATGGGAACATGTTTCACCTTTTTTTTTGCCTGGTTAGTTATGAACGACTTTGAGTTCCAATTACCAAACTGCAACTAAAAATTGACTGAAAATGATTTCCAACAAAATTAAAATACAAACGGGGCCTTTTATAGCTGACTATGCGGTATTGGTTTTACTCATTGTTGAAGGCCGTACAGTGACCTATAGTTGTTAATGTCTGTGTCATTTGGTGTCTTGTGGAGAGTTATCTCTTTGGCAATCATACCACATCTTCTTATTTTTATATTTAAAACTATTTGTAATTGAACACGCAGATTCTACTGTGTTTATGGCGAAATCATCAAAACATATACAAAAGCAACTTGTATTTAGAAATAAAGGAGATGTTGCCAAAAGGACAACTTTCTACCAGAGTCCAAACGACATGGATAAAAGCTTTTGTTGGCAATGATTGCCTACAACAACAAGAAAAAACTAACACTGCAAAGTAGCTATGAACGGCACCGATATAACAAAATGTAAAATAATTTCAATTGAGAAATTAAATGTCTGATTGATATCAAGGCAATTAACAAAAAACATGACGGACAGTAACCAAGGACAATCACGGAATGACAGGTTTTCCGACTTGGGATGGGCAAATAAGGGGACCACTATATGATTTTTTTTATGAGGGTGGGATGGCAGGAGGATTTTTTGTTGGTTGTCGATTCATTGTCAACCAGGTTTTTTCGCGAAAATTTTCACTTTTGTACAGAATGGTATCCTGCATTTTATTCTTTATATTCATTTTCATCCTGTATTGGACAAAATTATTTATATTCTATTCTTACCATGTCAGGATATTCATTTGTAACACCTCCTGTTCACTCCCCCCTCCCCGTCAATAAAATCAAATAGTAGTCGCTCAAAGAATGTCGCGGAGTGTTAAACATGTAATGTAATGTTATGTTAACTTATGTTTGTCCGTAAGTGATTATTTAACCCATTTTCGCGGTTGTTAGAATCAAATAGTTATAATTAATAATAAAAAAAAATCAGCAAAATAAGATCGAACCTGGCCAGAATCATCAATGGCTCATTAATGTAGTTAATGACCCTATATCCATAAACATAAACTATCGGAAATTGATTGATTGTTTTGTATCAATACCGGTTGAGCAAAACAGGCTCGTTGCAGATTCTATTTTTTTTTTTTTAAATTAAACACATCCTCAAAACAATTATATCACTTGTAATGAACAATTTGTTGGATTAATTTGTATGTTCCCATGATTGCAAATCCAAGACACCATATTTCTCAAAATAAGTAATATATAGCCAAACAATCTTGTTTATATCTCATCTGGATTTGTGTCACAGATATAAACGTATAATAAGCCTAAAGGATATCTGAATATCCCATAGGAAGTGGCAAAACCTATTGCATTTTCACGTCAGAATCCTATAGGATATTAAAATAATCGTACAGGATTTGTTCTCGTATAGGATTAAAAAATCCATGTAAATGATAAACGTTCTATACAAAAAAAATCGAGAAAAATAAAAATCCTATATCATAAGTAAACATGTAGGTACTCCGTGCTAAACCTAGGGTGAATACATCCCTTTTTTCTATGTAAACATATCTTGAAATATTTTCATTTCGAATCTTAAAAATTTCACTAAATATTCAAAAAAACTTCCGAAGCTGACATTATCTTTAAATAATCTGTAATATATAGCTTTTGATGATTTGTGTATCAGGGAATGTCAATTGTGTTCAATTCTATAGAACAAATCCTTTAAATATATAAAAATAAGAAGATGTGCATGGTATGATTGCAATGAGACAACTCTCCAAGATTAATATCCGTTTAATATTTTATAAGATTAAACCTTGAAAATCCTTTAGGCTTATTACTTCTTTTAAACTGTAACGCCAGATCGAGGTGAGATATATTTGATCATTGTAAAAATAAACCTACATGCTTTTTAGCTATGTATATTATCTTCATTCCCCACAAAAAGCCACCATTTGATAAGGACTAGAGAAATACATAGGTACAACAATTACAATCAATTGTATTGTAATATTATTTCAAGACATATTTACATCAAAAATAGGGACTAAATCACCCTCATGCTAGATTTAGCCTGTAGTACATATCACATGTTTACGTATGATTTTGATCAATTTGCAAACGTTTACGTTTTTTTAGATTTCTACATTTTAGTTTCCTCTGTAGTATTGTTCCATCTACCAGCTTTATTTGGAAACATACGGTTTGTTGTTCTGAATCTCTAATTTAACCTTGGCGGCCATGCTGGTGGGAAGGCAGAATCCACATGTTTTAAACAAGATATCCAAAGCATGATTGTGATCGGCCTTGTAGTTTCAGAAGAGAAAATTTTGTAAAAATTTTCAGACGTCTGACAGCAAAAGGGACGATGCGCAACTACGACGACAGACGACGACAGACGGCAACTGATGACAAAAGTTCGTACTAGTTTCCAAAAAAAGAAAAAAGGTATTGGAATATTGTCTATTGTTGGATTTCAGACAAAAACATGAAATTTTGGGGGAAATCATAGTTTGGAACAAGAAACAGTTTATACATTCAAAATTTACCATCCTTCCGGTTATATCTCTTCACATTTGTAACGTAGACTAATTTGGGAAAAAGTAGACCCCACCATGCTGTCTTTTGATTAACATCTGTAGCTGAACATCCATCTTCCCAATTATTATTCGCAGGTCCTTCTATTGCCAAGTTTGCAGTGTATGAAATACCTTCTGCGTCTGTATATGTTGTTTCTTGTGCTACGGTTCCATGTAAAGCCAGATTCACTGTTAAAAGATGTGAACTATTTACAGGGTACCTTCTTTTTCATTTGTTATTTTGATACTAGTTGTTTACAGTTGCATAATTTTGTTACATTTATACTAAACTAGTCACTGCCAATCTTTTTTATGGATACTTCCAATGTGTTAAACTATTTTAGTAATACACGGGTGTTTTTTTGTATCGTAAGACACATTTTCATTTCAGTTTTTAATCATAGTTTTTCTGCTGATGTTTGAGGTTTAACAGTAATGTTTTTTTATAAAAAATAGTTTTATACATATCCAATTGTATACAGTCATCGAAGCTAGTATTCCATTACATTTAAAACCCATGATATTATATAAATTTGTACAAATGAATGCATATCTTTTTTGTAATTGTTCATGACATTGATGTATAATGGGTATCCAATCTACCTGAATGTAGAGGGGCTGAGATTAAGTGTTTGAAATTAATAAAGAACTGTTTTTCAAAGATTTTCAAATAGTCCACCTTTCTCCTCGACAATTGTAAGATATTGTAAATTATTAACAACCTAATAAAATATATGTTTTTCAAAACACCTTGTTATTCCTTTTGTTTGTCTGTTTTTTTCCTCATTTTGAAACCTAGCAACCATAGATGTGTATCAAAAATTGATGTACGTTGTTGCAACTTATTTACAAAAGTAGATGTTTTAGAATGCAGTTTGAATCATTATGCATTACCAGTAATTTCACAAGGAACTGACTAATCTTCCTAAGAACAAAAGCATAATTATTGTCGTCGACTGTTTGTTTCCGGTTGGATGTCTTTTGGGGTTGTATTTTGTCGTCGGGTTGTTTTTTTCTCGTCGTATACCTTCGTTAAAGGCAACATTTCCTCATTATCAGGAACAGAAACAGGGATAATATATTGAACAAAATGAATAGATATTTACAACATTAAAAAAACAATGACGGAGAACACAACCAAAAGAGACAAGACAAGACACCGAAAAACAAAAAACTACACGAAGTTCTACTGAAGGAAAAAAAGCGAGAACGATAGACAAACAACTCAATACAAATGCGACAATAAATAATGTTCTTAGAAATAGTAAAGAATTCGGTGGAATACTGCGTTTGTGTAAAGTTAGCTGTTAAAACATTAAGTCATGTGTTATCAGTAAAATATATCAAAACAGTTTAAACTTGTTTTGGTGCTATAAATTTGAAATTTCAACAAAGGTATTCAAGTTTTGAATCTTTAACCACAGACTGTAACTTATGTTGAGTGCAAACAAAAAAACAATATTACATTTAGTATTCAATACAGACAAGTGAAAAATAATCAAAAGTTTACCCTAAAGAGCATCTCTAGATTATGAGGGGATTTTGTAAAAGTTAAATGAAATTCTAATAAGGTTTGAAAAAACCTAGAATATTTTAGTGTTAACTCTTATGAAATAACAATATATTTCTGAATTTCTATTGATTCATCAAACGAATCGTTTGTGGTTGCAAGATACAATGCGGTTGCACTATACATATGAAAGGTTAAGGCAATTACCGCAATACTTTACAATAAATATTATACACTTATTGACTAGTTATAAGAATAGCAAGTTTGTTGTTACATGTGAGATACATGTTTTAATTGGCAAAGATGGTAAAAAAATGTATATACTTACTCTGCGCTGTTACTGACACAAAAATGGTCGCTATGATAATTAAAAACACAGGTGGTTGCAGCTTTGAGATCATCTGAAAGTGAGTTTTGAAATCATATGAATTTCTAGATTGTCATCATAATCAAATATAACTAAAACCCATTACAGATATTCTTTTTTAATCGGAAGCAATTGAATAAACTGGCAGGCTTACTATATATACTTTTACAGTTCAAACCGCAATTCGAGATTATAATGTATTTAAAAAAATTTGAACCAAATATATTTAATTCACTTCTGCAAAAAAATGAATATATGCTTTTAAATTATCAAATCGAAAATACAAATCAAATATTGTTCGTAAGTTCGTAACTAGAATATGACTAACCATTGAGTTAGAGTTAAAAGTTCGAGAAATGGTTCTATTTATAGTCCAGTTCGATTTAATATTCGCATTATGCTTCGAGTTCAAAAATACCTGAATGTATACAAGTTATACTAGAAAAATGTATACTAAATGAAAAATATATGACTTTTGTGTCTATTTGTATGCAAATCATAATGGAACATAGCAGGTGCATCCAGGGGGCGGGGTACCTCTCCCTTATGTCCGAAAATTTGTCTTTTTCTGATCTAATTTTTCACTTCGGAACCCCTTTAATATTTCAGCGGGCTTCTCTGTCACATTTAATTTAACGTCCTTGATTTGTGACTACAGTTTGTGGGGGGAAAAAGTAAAACAACAAAAATACCAAACTCCAAGGAAAATTCAAAACGGAAAGTCCCTTTTTCATTTCCTCATGTAGAAAATGGTGAATTAAACCTGGTTTTATAGCTAGCTAAACCTCTCACTTGTATGACAGCCGCATATAATTTCATTATATTGACAAAAATGTGTGAACAAAACAAACAGACATAATAGGAAAAAATGTCAAAAAAAGGGGTGAAGCAGTCAACATTGATTTATTATCTTAATCACTATAAAAACAAACAAATATGTCAACAAAGAAAATCAAAATGGCATATAGACAAAGCACATAAGCAAAAATGAATGACAAGAATACAAAAAATGATCATAGCACAATAACACAATGGCGGGATAACCAATTGCATTTGCTAATTGAAAATTAAGCTGAATAAAATCATTTAAGACAACAGAGAAGATAATTCTGTAATAATGGTTTATTACTCAGACTTAAATAAAGAGTGAGCTATTTATACTGTAAATTTATGACATCTCTGTACTGGTCAATGGGTCAGATTTGTCAGCACGAGTTCACGTGTAAGTGCGTTGTGTTCATTTCCTTTTATCATTAGCTTTAACTTGTAATTCTTATCAAACAATTTGTGAAAAATTCTCACCCGCATACCTCCCTTAAGTTTATCTTTAGAAGTAGACATGTATATTTTGACTTGGACGGAGAGTAGTTTCATTGGCACTCATACCACATCTTCTTATATCTATATATGTTTATTAGTGGGGCAGATTTTTCTCCCCACCTTTGCTATTCTTTGTCATTTATTCAATTGATATGATTTTAGTTGATGTAATTTCGTATTAATTATGTATTATAATTTCATATTATTTATGAACTTTTATGTCAAATGTTTTATTTGCAAAATGTATTTTTTGCATTTTATTATTTTAAATAAATGACCTTTTTTCGTCAATTTAGTTTTTATATCATATATCAAAACAAGCCAAGGCTCTGGCATGTGTATACATTAGTATGTTTATGGTATATAACTGGCTGTCTTAAATATAAGTACCGAGCCACGCCAAAAAGAAAATTACCAAAAATGGACTAAACAGTAACGGTTATAAATTTACAAAGACAAATAAAAGAATACTATAACACGCAATTAAGATGATAAACAACGTCAGTACCTGGAATCTATACTTCAAGACCATCATGTATTATTTTTAAATTTGATACAGAAAATTTATCAACAAGGATTGGTATCTTCCGATGAACTTTTTTAGAAAAAGGACGAGACGTTCTTTGACATAACCCTGGTTCATCAACTTTCTGCTCAGACACTGTTGACGTTTTGAAAAGTCTGAGTAGCAGCTGCAAGCCCTTGAATACCGAATGAGTTGGGGAAATGTATATCCCATATGCAGGTGAAGTTGGTATATTGCTACTAAGGTGGGGGAAATTGACAGTTTCAAAATTAAAATCGTCTCGTTTGTCATAGATTCTGGTACTGAGATGAACATTTCGAATTAGGATTTAAATCAAATTTTTACTCAAAGATTAACTCGAAATCTTACTCATCGGATTAAGTGTGAAGAAAGAATATATGGGTCGCTTGTTCAGAATAATGAACCTCAATTTCGCGTAGCCATTGTCCCAAAATCAAAATTCATAGGAAGAAAACATATTTTATCACTGCTTTTTGTTCGGCGCGCCATTACGACAATTCCCCTCCCTCAGCACGTTGTGTTTTTTAAAATATGTATGACTAATTTTCCATGAACAGATATGTTTTCTTTTCAGAAACATAGTCACAATTACAAAATGTCGAAACCTACAGGAATTTTAATATCAAAGAGTCATAAAACAATTAAATGGTTGTTCAACAATTTTGACATATGTATACATTATATATCCATACAATCAAAATTATTGCACATTACTGTTGAATACTTTAATATGTACAATTTGCAACTTAATCAAATCAAAATACGACCGCGCTGAAGTACGTCCATTATTCATTTTTCATTACTCAAAATTCAATAATGAATTATGAAATAGTTCATTATTCATTATTCAACGTTAAGTGATGAATAATGAATAATGAAATAGTTCATATTTCAGTATTCAAGCTGAAAAGTGAATAATGAAATCGAAAATTTATTTTTTGACTGTGACACAATATCCCGTATTTCTGAATTCGTCATTTTGGTGTTATTTAACAAATATTGAAATTAATTTAAGAAAAATAAATCAAAACACTCTTTGAAATTTTTATCTTTATTTATTTATTTAGTTTCGGAGGATAAACTAGTGGGTTTCCCTAACTATTTTTAACAAAAATTCCTTGTTTTAATATATGGACGACCTGAATACCAAAACATTATATAAAAATCAGAAATACTACACATAGTATTTTTTTTTAATTTTCACTGGATCCTTGCTATTCTTCATCCCCTAATTATAGATATAGCTTATCGATTGTGCCGCAATGCCCATTAGAGGGGTTACGCAGGACCTAAATGTCAAAATACGCGTGAAAATTAAGAAATAGCCAATTTTGAATAATGAAATGGATATTTTGAATAATGGAATGGACTGCTGCGACCCTTCAGCCCCTAATTACAGATAAACCTTATACGTCATTCGAAAGCATACCAATAGAGGAACAAAAGGTATATATTCAATATGTCCCGCAACGCCTATTAGAGGAGTTTCAAGGGACCTAAATGTCAACATACGCGTCAACAATAAGAAATAGCTTATTTTGAATAATGGAATGGACTGCTATGACCGCTACGACCCTTCAGCCCCTAATTACAGAGAAACCTTATACACTATTCGAAAGCTTATCGACAGAGGAACAAAATGGTTATAATCAATATATGCCGCAATGGCTATTAGAGGGGTTACGCGGGACCTAAATGCCAAAATACGCGTGAAAATTAAGAAATAGCCAATTTTGAATAATGAAATGGATATTTTGAATAATGTAATGGACTGCTGCGACCCTTCAGCGCCTTATTACAGATATACCTTATACGTCATTCAAAAAATTATCAATAGAGGAACAAAAGGTATATCGTCAATATGTCCCGCAACGCCTATTAGAGGAGTTTCGGAGGACCTAAAAGTCAACATACGCGTCAACAATAAGAAATTGATTATTTTGAATAATGGAATGGACTGCTACGACCCTTCAGCCCCTAATTACAGAGAAACCTTATACACCATTCGAAAGTTTATTGACGGAGGAACAAAATGGTTATAAACAGTATGTGCCGCAATGCCCATTAGAGGGGTTACGCAGGACCTAAATGCCAAAATACGCGTGAAAATTAAGAAATAGCCAATTTTGAATAATGAAATGGATATTTTGAATAATGGAATGGACTGCTGCGACCCTTCAGCCCCTAATTACAGATATACCTTATACGTCATTCGAAAGCTTCTCAATAGAGGAACAAAAGGTATATAGTCAATATGTTCCGCAATGCCTATTAGAGGAGTTACGGATGACCTAAATGTCGAAATACGCGTGAACATTAAGAAATAGATTATTTTGAATAATGGAATGGACTGCTGCGACCCTTCAGCCCCTTATTATAGTGGAACAAAAGATATATAACCAATATGAGCTGCAATACTGTATTCAAATGATAGTAAGGACCAGAATCTTACACATATACTTGTAAAAAAGCTTCACTGCCAACTGATGCTCCCCGAACTACATTTTATGTACATAAGCTTACAATTATAGTGAGAAAGAAGCAGGAACCTTCATTGAAAATATTTCGTCTGTATACATGTGTTGCAATTAATAATGGGATACTGTACCGAAAGCCAAATTAAAAAATTTCTATTTGAACTAATAGTAATTTTAACCTATTCCCTATATCAACCATCTGTATAAGTTTCATTCCACCAAGCAAGATAAATCTGTGCTACTATCTGTATACCATTTTTTAGCTCACCAGGCCTAAAAGGCCAAGTGAGCTTTTATCATCAATTGGCCGTCGTCGTCCGTCGTCGTTAACTTTTACAGAAATCTTCTCCTCTGAAACTACTGGGCAATTTAACCAAAATTGGCCACAATCATTATTAGAGTATCTAGTTTAGAAATATGTCTGATGACCCCACTTACCAACCAACATGGCCGACATGGCTTAAAATAGAACACAGGAATACAATGCAGGTTTTGTCTATTATATTGAAAACTGCTACTAATAGAGGCAATAGAGAAAAATTATAGACAAATAGAAAGAGGTTGAAATGTTCAAAATGATGAGGTCTACTTATTATCTATTATTTCAAAACTTTTTGGCTAATATTCCAAAAATGATCAAAGCACATAGTCGAAATCGTCGGACGACTCTTCATTCGAGTTATTGTCCTC